CAGTGACTGCAAATTAGTGTCATCTGATGATGGCTGATTAGTAGCCTGAGGAAAATGAGTTGGTGGATTTGGTTTTGTTCCTAGAGGACAAGTTTCCATATCACAAAACCACTCTAATTGGCACTATTGTTACTCATATTTCTTGAGAGGTCAAGAAACAAAAGACAAGGAGGCTGAAAGCCCCTTGCTCAGAAATGTGCTATCTGTTCTATAGATAAAGACAAGGCTTTCTAATCAGGGCTTCTAATCCAGCATCTTTCCTAACTATTAGGTTAATTAAAAATGGCTAACACACTAAATATTTAAAACATAAATGGAACATATGATATTTTAAAATTTAGAAAGCACTATGAGTGATCAGCATCAATGAAAAACAAAGCTCATAAACATTTTATATTTCTATTATATCCATAACTATCATGCATATGATATTATTTGTGTGCACATGTGCATATTTTGTATGTATCTAGTATTTTGCTGTTATTAGAAAAATAAAGTGATAAAATAGTAAAAGTAATTATTTGCTCATTTTGCCCATTATATTTTATGCTAGAAACAACTGGCATTACCTCCAGTTTGCTGTCTTCCCATCTGGCTAGGCACTGTATTGTTTATGTTGAGTGTTATCCTGGATGACTAATATCAGCTGAATATTTTTAAAAGTTGAATCTTTCTAAACCTTTCTTTATTTTGAAATGTGGTAGAACTTATCTTCCCATTGCAATTGTTTAATGTAGTGGTTTTCAACCTTTTTTAATAAGTGTACCCCCAGGTGCTCCTTTTTAAATAAGTGTCCCCCCCCCCCGGGAGGGGGTACGGCCAAATGTGGAGCGGTGGCAGCCACCACGTGCAAGCTTCCCCTGCCCTCCATGTCCAGCTGTGTGAGCAGTGCCTGTGTGGCAGCATGAGGTGGTGTGTGACGGCGCTCTGTCCCCGCCCGCCTGCGCATACCCTCTAGGGGCCTTCTCAAGTACCACCAGGGGTACATGTACCCCTGGTTGACAACCTCTGGTTTAATGCATTTTAGTTGTGGGCTCTCCAGAGCTGGCAGGTCCAGATCCCACCTAGTATTCATAGCTTTCTGCACTCTGCCACCCCTTGGAAGAGAAAAGCCCATGCTGAAAGCAGTGGATAGCATGCCACTGTAGGAATCAAGAGACCTGATTTTATTTTTGGGTCTGCCACTGACCTGGAGTTTGACCTTGGGTAAGTCACTTACCCTTATGTTTTCCGCTTTGAAACTGTTGTCTAAAGCTCTTGACACACAGCTTAGCACTAGAGCAGAAATGTCAAATATACAGCCTGTTAGCTGGATCTGCCCTGCTAATTGCTCTATCTGGCCTGCTGGTAGTCCAATGGACTACTGGAAGGTGGAGGGTGTGGCCACTGGAGCATACCCTGCTACAGAATTCAGGGTCCCTGGACCCAGATGGACATGACTATTTGTGGCAGAGGGGCAAGCAAGCACATACTGCTGTTGCTTGCCATACCGCCACTTGCTTACAGCCACCTGCTCCTGGACTCAGACCCAGACCCACCTCAGCTGTTACTGGCTCCATGGATCTGGTCCAAGATGAGCCCCATGGTCCAAATCCAACCTGGGGCCCCATAAATACATAGCTGCTCTAACAGGGTTCTGTTGGCTTCTGAAACATGCAAGACCTAGTAGAGGATTCATAAATCATCTAGTTCCCATGCACCACACTACACTGACCATCCAAATACATTGTATTCATTTTCCAATTCTTGTTATTAATTCAGCATTGCAATACCTGACTGTCTTGGTGCTCAGCCCTCCCAGAGGGGTCAATGGCCTACCCAGCAGGAAATGCTGCTGACAGGAAATTCTGTGTTTTCTTGGGGCTCAGGTGCCTAATTCCAGGTTGAAAGGATGTGTCTGCTGCCACACCTTTTGTAATGAATTTTCCTCTGAAGAAAATACAGTGATTACAGCATTCATTCAGGCTGGGAGAGACCAAATATTCTCCAATCACCATTCTGTAAACTACTCTGAAGTGGAGTGATGCAGCTTCATGCCCTCCTGTTAAAACTGTGCTTCTTTGCACTAAAGAGTTACATACTAATTTGTCCAGAAAGTAAGCGAGACTGTAGCCCAGAGATGTCAAACACGGTCAGCGGGATGAATCCAGTCTGAGGAGCCACTCCATCTGCCCATTGGGCTACTGGTGGGCCACCAGAAGTTGTGTGTGTAGCCAGCAGTGGGCACGGCCTGCCACAGAATCTAGGCCCCTGTGGCGTGGGTGGACATAACCCTCTAACAGGTAGGTGAGCAAGGGCTGCTCAGTCATGGATTCATAGATTTTGGGGTCAAAAGGGACCTTAGCAGATCATCAAATCCGACCCCCTGCCCTGGGCAGGAAAGTGTGCTGGGGTCAGATGACCCCAGCCAGGGGCATGTCTAGCCTCCTCTTTAAGACCCCCAAGGTAGGGGAGAGCACCACTTCCCTTGGAAGCCCATTTCAGATTTTGGCAGCCCTTACCGTAAGGAAGTTCTTCCTGACGTCTAACCTAAATCTGCTCTCCATCAGTTTGTGGCCATTGTTCCTAGTTACTCCAAGGGGTGCCCTGGTAAACAGAGCATCTCCTATTCTTTGCTGTCCCCCTGTCCCCCCTGATGAATTTGTAGGTGGCCACAAGATCATCTCTCAGCTTTCTCTTGAGGAGGCTGAAGAGATCCAGGGCCCTCAATCTCTCCTCATAGGGTTTTGCCTACAGGCCCCTAGCCATATGAGTGAGCCTCCTCTGAACCCTCTTGAGGTTATCCACATCCCTCTTGAAGTGTGGCACCCAAAACTGGATGCAGTACTCCAACTGCGGCCTGGCCAATGCTGCATAAAGTGGAAGTATCACTTCCTTGGACCTGTTTGTCATGCACCTGCTAATGAATGAGAAACAGGTCAGTCCTTGGTCACACTGCAGTTGTTTGTCTCGCTACCACTTTTGCAGCTTTGCCATGGCAAGCAGCTGGCTGCCTGCAGCTGCTTGCCACACTGCCACTGTAGTGGCCACTTTCACAACTGCTGCCGCCATTGATAGAGTCTCCAGGTGAGTCTGACACCTCTGTTCTAGCCTCATGGTTAGAGTACTTATCTGGAAGTATCAGAGATGGGCTATGGTCTCTGCTCCAAACCCTAGTTAATGAAAGAGGAATGTGTGCAGATTCATGTGAGGATTGTCACAGTTCTCAATGTCTCTCGTAGCAGTAGTCTATCAGGTAAGAGACCCAGCATACCATATAACTAGCAACTCACATCATGACTTAACTGATTGCAAAAATAAAAAGGGAATAAATACGTACATGAAATCAGCCAAACATTCAGCTCTAGCTTGCCATTTTTATCTTTGTGGGAAAAATAAAACAGGCATTTATCAATCCCCCTCCCCACCCAAAAAAAAGACATCCCCTTTGGTATTCCAGCCAGCCAGCCAAATGCGTGAGGCATGCTGCTCAGTTGACATTAATGAACATATGTTCAAAGGAAGACACAACAGGTGTGGCATGAAAAGAGCATGTGCACTGGATCCAGCAAAAACTCGGGGGTATATATATAAAATGATACTGGCCACCATATTACAAAGGTGGCGGGGGGGGGTTGCAGGTGCAGTCATATTTCTATACAAACTCAAAGTCCAACCTCTCTCCTAAGTAGCTGACAGAAAAAAACATCAACTAAACAGGACAGCAACCAAACAACTGATTGTTTTCTTGCCTAGGAGAAACTATAAAAAGAGAAGCAGAGAGGGGAAGGGAGAAAAATTCTACCAAAAACAGCTCCCAATATTTAGATGTTAAGTCATTAGGGGCAAGGAACATATATCATCTTTGTGTTTAAAAACCTGTGAAAGTGTTCATATCTGTAAAAATATTCCCTTAGAAGTAATACAATTAAAAATATACCGTATATGTATGCTTAGAAACAGATCCAGAATTTTAAAGAGAGGTGCAGGAGCGGGGATCAGCACTACAGGGGTGGCTGTGCTCCCAATCCCAGCCTCCCCCTGCCCATGAAGCAGGCAGACTGCACCATGGGAGCAGCAGCTGGGAACTTTTAAGTCCCAAAGAAGGTAAACAGTTCTCTCTCCTGTTCCCCTCCATGCTCAGAGGCACTTTGCCTCCTCTTCCTCCCTTCCCCACCTGCCTCTGCTGGTATCCCCACTGTCTACATTGTCCCAGGGATGAGAAGCACCTGACCCACTCCAGCTGGGTGCACAGGGCCTGAGCTCAGCCCAGGATGGCAGTGGCACTAGGTGGGCAGGATCCTGTCCCCTGTGCCTGCTTCCAGGCTGGTAGGGAATACCCAGGGGGAGCAGGCAGAGTGGGAGAACCCACCTGCCTGCTGCCGCCACCCATGTCCTGGGCTAAGCCTAATCCCCATGTAACCTGGCTGGAGCAGGACAGGAGTTCCTCTCACCCTAGGACCGCCTGGACACTGGCAGCAGCAGGGGAGGGAGGAGGGAATGGGACATGCCTCTGAGCACTGTGGGGAGGTAGGGGAATATAATTCCCACCTTCTTCAGTATTAAAGTCCCCAGCTGCTGCTCCTGTCACATGGTCAGAAAAGGGATGTGGCTACACCACCCGTTTAAGCTTTCATAATTTGAGGGAATCCTTCTATCCCCAGAACATAACACAGGCTTCCCTATAGGGAGGAAATCCTTTTTTAATTGAAGTTTCCTCTGAAGTAGATATGGTTTTAAATTATGGAGTAGCATGCTTTTTTGCAAATGCTGAGAACCTAACTATAGCTTGAAAGTCTTGGAGTTTTCCAAGTGGTACGAGATGCACGCACCCAAACACCAACATCAGTCCTGGTGTTATGGTATTTATGGTCACCTGACACAAATGAGCTTGCTCTTTGTTACTCTGTCAACAAAGCTGCAGAGCATTTCCTTGTATGGACGGGGCTTTTCACATCCCGTAGCCAGAACCACAGGACTCACATTTGAGAGGCCTTGAGGGGTTATTGGTTTCATACGAGGAATTGTTAGTCTCCAGAATGCGACGTGTGGTATGGAGTGTGAGAGAAGTAGGAGACATCAGGAATGATGCTGTTGAAGGAGAAGGATGGCAGGAAGACTGGGGTATGGATATTTCAGTTGTGTAAAAAAAGCAGGGCACAGGAAGGGAGCACTTCATCTTCTGTACACACAGTTTGAATTAGTCCTGGGAAACCCTTCTGAATGTCTCTTGAGCTGTTTTGTTTCATGTACTTAGAAAGACAGGCACCAGAGCTGCAGTGTGGTATGAGAACGGAGGACAATGTCATAGACTGCACTGTGCAGGAGCATTGGGCGTGCCCACTCACCTCCCAGGTCTTCTTGGGAGCAGAACACTATACAAGTGCCAATAAAGTCTTTTCCTATTTACACATAAGCCAATGTGTATTTGTAATGTGGCTTGTTCCTAGGGAATCTGAAAGAAACACATATCCAGCAAGAGTTTAAAATGAGGAGGTTTTATTAGAGAAGCTAATAATTAGCCATGCTTTTTTATCTCTGCTGTGTTGCTGAAGGGGATGGGAAAAGGAATATTTTGGACAGTGCTGAACAGAGGGTTTGCCCCAAACTGGTCATTCATTACAAGTCAGGGACAAACCCCCAATTTTTCTCTCTTATCTCTGATTTAGCTGTCCTCAGTAGAGTTCAGGGCATCTATGAAAGAAAACACACTTTGCTCTCTGAGTATCAACCATTCACTTAGCTGAAAATTTGAGAATCTTGTCTTCTAACCTACCTCTTGGCATATTAACCCCATGCTCAGATATCTCCACTGGCTTTCTCTCTTTTTACATATATGCTGCACCATCCAGCTGCTTCCTTTTCTCCAAGCCAATTCCCAGGCTGCTTGTACATTATACTTCTCTTTACCCCTCCCTCTCCCTGCACAGTGGGCAGGAGTGCATTCTCTGCACCTGTAACATTCTCTTCAGACCCTGTCTGAGTAGCTCTTTCTCTTTGGCAAGTAACTCTAAACCATTTTTAGCAAAACAGCTTAACTCTGCTCTTTGAGGTGTCAGTTTTCTTGGGCTCAACTACCTCCCTGTACCTTGGCCTTTGTACTCTTCTTAAACCTTGCCCTTCACATCTTCCTCTAAGTGATATTTTTTGCCTCTATGCATTGCTTTAATTTAGCTACAGGAACTGTAACTGCCTGTAAATCCTTTTGTCATCCTTTTGTGTAAAAGAAAAAAGGTACACTAAAGACATTGTATTGTGTAAACATTGGATTGATCAGCTGACAATTCTGTTTGGAACTAAAAAGAAACTGGAAAATTCAGAAATAATTTACTGCTCTGATCATCTCTTGCATGCTCCTTATCAGTTGTAGAAATCATATGGTTACTACCTAGCTGTGCTCTAATTAACTTAGCCAGAAGCCTGCCAACTTTAACCTGCTTGGAAGAAAAATAAATGTTTAACTGAGAAGTGAGACATTAACTATTCAAAAGATAATATTGTCCATAAACCTGTTGCTTTCCTCTAGTAGCTTAATTCTCT